TTATACATGTCCTAATTACGCATTCAGTAATATTTTTTGTTAATTGACCGGAAAAAGCAAGACAAAATTTTGTTCATTTCTCGTTCAATTTTTAACCAAATTCAACCAAATTTTAATCAGTTCTTCCTTAGCCGATGGGAAATGCATTAAAAAAATTTCGTACGGATATGTTTGGTATTTCTTGAGTTATCGTGCTCACAGACAAACACACACACATACACACACACACACATACACACACACACACATACACACACACATACACACACACACACACACATACAAACCCAGATGATTACATAACCTCCTGGCGGAGGTAACAAACCCAGATGATTACATAACCTCCTGGCGGAGGTAATTACCTCCGCCAGGAGGTTATGTAATCATCTGGGTTTGTTACCTCCGCCAGGAGGTTATGTAATCATCTGGGTTTGTATGTGTGTGTGTATGTGTGTGTGTATGTGTGTGTGTATGTGTGTGTGTATGTGTGTGTGTGTGTATGTGTGTGTGTGTGTATGTGTGTGTGTTTGTCTGTGAGCACGATAACTCAAGAAATACCAAACATATTCATACGAAATTTTTTGAATGCATTTCCCATCGGCTAAGGAAGAACTGATTAAAATTTGGTTGAATTTGGTTAAAAATTGAACGAGAAATGAACAAAATTTTGTCTTGCTTTTCCCGGTCAATTAAAAAAAACTCACTGAATGCGTAATTAGGACGTGTATAATGTATGCACGCAGTACCGAAGACAATAATGAGATGATAAACCTCATTAAGCTTCAGCCTTCATTATCTATTGTCTTAGTTGCGTTTCACACGACCGAAATTCAATGGGGGCGGAGCTATGCAGTCTCTGAGTGCCCTCTAGTTTAAATATGCAACGTTCAAAAAAGAAGATCTAGATGACACGGAAATTATGTTATGTTTATTATTCTGTTTGGATGTCTCAAATGCGTTCTAACTGTATCTTCACGTTGCCAAATAGACGTGAAACAGTGGACTTATAGCATATAACCAAGGACCCCTGGTTACTTATCCACAAAACTTAGGGCCTACTACTTAGCTAGTTGCATGTTTAATTCAAACCAGAATGTCCGGGTCAAATACAATCAAATTCCTGGTTACATTAATCAGACTTACTGACCGAGACTGCGAGAGTAGGAACTGAGGCGCCTTGTTTGCTCATGAGTAGCGTCAAGCTCGCTGAAAATCATCGCAATGAACTTATTTTATATTATTGATATATGAATATGCCCGATTTAAGGCAGAGTCCAAAAACGTCATCCCAAAATAAGCTGGCGGCCCCACTGAATGTTTATGATCTCGGGCAGTTTATGTATTTGCATGAATTTCAGTTCTCGGTGTCCGTTTTTCATTATGTTCGCTTCGCTCACTGTAACTGTCCAGCTTGACACTTTTCAGTCCGTTTTAGCCCTTGCGTGCGCGCCCTGATAGTCGAGCTATTACATTCAACTTCCTTGGCGTTTAATTTACGCGTGACTAATCATACTCCTGACTTGTATAAAGCGACCGTAATGGAAAACGGCCTAAAAGCAGCACTTCATGGCGTTGATTATTTCTTTAAAAATAAATATTTTCCTTTAGGAGCAATAAGTAAAACCCCAAATGAAATAATGGTTGTGCCGGTGAGCGAACCCGTGGCGGCAGCGCACGAAGGCCCTGAAATAATCGTGTACCCGTCCCAGGGTGTACCTCAGGCTGTCGCTAAAGTCATCGTTATTCCCGCCACTCAACTCCAAGTTGCACAAAGATTACCCGATGGAAATGGCGCAAGACCTCAAACTACCAGTCCGTTACCTGTGAGAGTCAGTTCTACTATACCCATCGTACCTTTAAATAGCACTGTGCATCCATCATGCTCTTTTGTCTCCCCTACGGTCTCCTTGTCCACTTCTCTCTCTATTAAAGGTAAGTCAACGTTTTATTCCATTCATTTCCGTCCAAGGACTTCCCCATATAATATTAAGTTAAATCGTCTGGCGTTGGGCGGAGTAAATATTTAAAACATCATTCACCTTTGCAATTGATTGATACAGCGGGAACAAGCTAAAGTTTAATTAATTAAAAAGATACTTCGTCCGGATGGCCGGATAAGTACTTTCATCTCTTTCCACACCGAGGACTTTCCCGTTGACAAACAAAGAGTAACCAAGTGTATTTTCGTATTTGAATGCGCTGTACGATATATATACTATTGTATAAAACTTTACTGAATATTTAGATAGCGATAAATACGAAAACTTTGCGTCCCTGCAAATCAGTAATGACTGGTTTAATCATTGATATTAAATATCACTGATGGAACGATGTAATAATAAATGAGCGTAACACATCATGATGGATGAATTGTAGTTAACAAATATGATAACGGATTTCTTGATTGTATATAACATTACTTACTTATGCCGGGAACCATCCTGGACCACCCGGACACAGAATACTACACAGAAGTTCCATCTCCATTGTTTTTTTGCGTAAGTGCTATTCGTCACTCAGCAAGTACCGTAAACAGAAGCAGTACCCCCCTGGAAATACTCAAAATGGCGCACGTCCAGGGGGATGACTGCTTCTGTTTACGGTACTCGCTGATTGACGAATCATGACGAATAGCGCTTACGCGAAAAACAATGGAGATGGACTTCTGTGTAGTATTCTGTGACCCAGATGACGTCTTTTCAGGAATTCCATCATGATATCTCTAATTTCTTTGACATTCTTCAATCCAGTGTCAGTCTTGATATTGCTAATACTATGTAATTGGTGGTCTACACTGGTTTTGAAGTCCATGACATGGTTTCTCCCAAAACATCACTTTTGAGTCTTCTTTGTTCTGACATCAATTTAAATATAACAATATTTAACTTGATGTCAGGCATTGTGTCGATTTCATCTACCGGCAGACAACGTTTAAAACGTGGCTAATGTTTACACAGATCTAGAGTTCATCCTGTTAAACATCTAAACATCATGACATTTCACAAAGAGAAGTTATATCCTCGTTCATGTTTTGAGCACAGTAGGGTGTTCAGTGAAAGTTTGTACGTAGTTACCTCCGCCAGGAGGTTATGTAATTATCTGGGTTTGTATGTGTGTATGTGTGCGTGTATGTGTATGTGTGTGTATGTGTGTTTGTCTGTGAGCACGATAACTCAAGAAATACCAAACATATTCATACGAAATTTTTTGAATGCATTTCCCATCGGTTAAGGAAGAACTGAAATTTGGTTGAATTTGGTCAAAAATTGAACGAGAAATGAACAAAATTTTGTCTTGCTTTTCCCGGTCAATTAAAAAAAAATTACTGAATGCGTAATTAGGACGTGTATAATTTATGCACGCGATACTAAGACAATAATAAGATGATAAACCTCATTAAACTTCAGCCTTCATTATATATTGTCTTAGTTGCATTTCACACGACCGAAATTCGATGTGGGCGGAGGTATGCGCGCAGTCTCTGAATGCCCTCTAGTTGGATGACGTTTCCACTAACTATAGTTAACTTTAATCACTTTCTTATATAACCGGCCCCAGGTCTTTTGTCAGCTAATGATTAATTGAGTTACAATTATTCCGCTTTTATCATTCTTTGGTATATATTTTCTCTTTAACTAGATCCTTCGTCAAATATCGTGACACACGATGTATGTCGTCCATTTACGCCCAAGGAGTTGTCTAGAATTGCAATAAGAATTAACAGTGTATGGACGACTGTAGCCGGGCTCACTAACTTGTTTCAATCCTATGATATTGACAATATATCTTCAAATACCTCATTCCATGATCCTATAGAGAAAGCTACCCAAATGTTGAACAGTTTTAAATCACGTTTAGGAAAGCGAGAAGATCTTGCTAAGCTATTGAGGAGTCGGGGAAAGCTGATGTAGCCACTAAAGTGCGCAAAGGATATTATATTGATAATTGTAATGATGACACTACTGGTCTAGAGGGTGGTCAAGGGTAATATTTTCGTAAGCTGTGAATTGTTAATACGTATTTCCATTAAATGTGAAGTTTTCGATTTGTGTATCATGAAACTTTATGTTCCTAGGCGGAGACGTGATTACCATAACAGCATTTTTTGCGTGAAGCGAGACAGGTTGGACGAAAAGTGAATGAGTAGACAGTGAGAACATCAAAAAGAGCAAATTTTTCACATGTAATAATTTTGCGGAATGCATCGGTTGGTTCTTAGAAAAGGATTCAATGATAAGCGTTCCTTGGTGATTATTGCTTATGAAAACGTAAAATATAGAGTAAAATTTTAAGAAAGGCATTATTAAGATACTCAATTTAAAAAATGCAACTTGCAATTTCTGTGAAATAGCTAGCTTTTTACATGAAACGTGAAATGGTTATTCTACCTCGCGTGAAACGCGATCCGCACTCTTGTCGCTTTATATACTGTCTTCATTTTTTCGTGAAAATACGTCCACATTCTCTAATCTCATTCCATCATTAAACAGAAATGTTGGCGCTGTGATGGATGATCAATGATACAACCGTTGCAGTTTTGTAATAATTTCACTATACCTAAATATAGCAGTTTAACAATTTATCTACAATCAACATTTTTGGCGATGACTTAAAAACTCTTTTCTTCACCTATGTCAGCGGGCATTGCTAACGTAACCTTGTTAGTTTCGGACGACATTAATCAGCAAAGCAAGTCCAGTCCGTACGAGCAAAAATAACCAAGCTCAAATGAAGACAGTCCTGGTGATAACTGCTTACACCGATGCATTAACTAATAATGAGTACTTAGCTCTTACCAATTTAAAAAATTACGTTTCTTATCCAATCATAAAGTTAATTCACTTATTAAAAAACACAGTCTTCCAGTCAACATGCGCGTGCAGCGGTCTTACATGGCCGACCAGGAAACTAATTTCTATAGGGGTTAGGGCTCCCAAAAAATGCTGATGTTTCCTCGACTATAGCTGACTATTCCACCAGTTAGGTAAGCATATCTCAAACTTATTAATAGTTAATGAGTAAATTACTCCGCCATATTACTTGATTTTGCTCACATGATAATACTGGATACCTGGTGGAGTATATTGTTCCCGTCCTAGAACTGGGTCGAAATTAATTTACGTCACCTTAAGACTGATTTATTCGTATGAGATGTCATTCCAAATCCTCCAATTCGGACTGGACTAAATTTCAAGTCCTAATTTTTCCTCCGTTTTAACTCCTAATTCTCGGTTTCGCCTTTGACTGGAACATATTGCGCGGACTTGAAATGTAGTTGGATTTGAAATATTACATATAGTTCGTTGGGAAAGTAATATCACGTATTGTTGTAAAGATAAATAGTCTTATGCTAAGTAGATATGAGCGTAATACTTGATGTAATCGGTCACTGAAAAGCCCCCATGGGATGTGAACTGCATGATAATACTGTATATATATTTCAAACATGCACATGATTTTTCATTATTTCAAACATGCACAAATGGTTTACATGATTTTCCAATAAGCTTAATATGAATTATTAATGAAATAATTCATATTAAGCTTATTGGAAAATCATGTAAACCATAATATGTCACGTGCAGTGGCTTTAAGCCTGATAAAACACTCCTAATTAGTATTCTTTATATAAAGAATACTAATCAGTCACTATCTATTGTAATTGTGTCCTCATTAGTATTCTTTATGTACTATAGATAAAACATGATCAGCCGATCTTAATTTAATAGAAAAACTCGAGCCGAAGGCGAGAGTTTGTATCAGATAAAGATTGGATGCGAACGTTTTATCGTGCTTATAAAACGACCCATCTTATGAGTTCATTGGCGAAGTAATGTTAAAAATAAACATTGTCTAAGCCGAGAAAATCAAAGCTGAAATTTATGTAAATTAAGACAAATCTTTATGCGATTTACAAACATTGATTAAAATTCATTTCTTTTGAATTTTCTTCGTGAATTATTATTTAATGAGTTTTATAAATAAAGAATACTAATAATTAAGGCAGTATATCTATTGAATTTGTAGTCGTGTTTGAAGCCGTTTAATAAACGAGCAGGAGTGTTTTATTAGGTCTAAAGCCACTCGCGCTCGTGGCTTTAAACCTAATGAAACACTCCTGCTCGTTTATTAAGCAATACATGTATATGTGCATGTACATATATATACTAGTACGGTGGCCGATAAGGGTCATTCACGCACAAAAAGTGAAATCACCCCACAATAACACGAAACACGCCAACAAACGCACGAAAGAAACCGCTGACCGATCACGGTCTCAATACTGATTAAATTCATTATTTCACGCCTTTTTACCGCGTCCGCACGACGGCTTTTAAACAATGAAAATGGTTTTAGTAATTCATATATATTACAAATATTGCTTAAAGTAACTTGGCCAATAATCTTATTGTTATTTACATTAACCTTTTTTGTTGAAGTTAAAATTGTCTGCATACTAAAATCACAGTTTTATAGTTGATATGAAGAGTTTGGAATGTGACATTTGTTGGTTCAAAATTGATAGTTATTCAATTTTAGACTGAAAGTGTTGACGTGTTTTTAATATAAAATATACAAACAATAAAAAACTATATTAATTGTTAAAATCTATACTTGTTCAGCTATTTGTTTTAAAATTGTGTATAAGTTCAGAGCACATTTCCAACCAGTAGGCTTTTCTAATCCTGATGTGCAAACATAGTTAAGATACTTTTTGACATCCTGATTAACCGGACATTACTATAACCGGAAAACCACTCCCTTATTAAAGCAGCATCTTTCAAAGCGAACATCCATGGTAACTGTTTCTAATGGGGAGAAAATTTAAGGTCGGAGTGGAAAATATGGAAAAGTGGTAGAGCAATGCAGTTTATCGAAATGACTGTTAATTCGTCTAAAGAGGAGTGAGATAATCGCTAAAAGACTGTTACCTTCAAACACGCGTTGCATTTAAATAACGTTGGACTTGAATAGAATTATTGTGGTGCTTGGACTAATTGCTGCCGAGCGTAACGAGGCAGCTCCCTATTCTTGACGTTACATGACGTTCTTGCTTTTTCGTGCCCAGTCCCCGGCCGAGTTATATTGAGGAAACATACTGAATCCATGTCAGTCCGTCGGATGCCAAGATTTTTCGGAAATTGTCGTCAGCTCGAGCATTCGACGATTGTTTGTTTTTATTCGATTTTGCTTCGATTTTATTGATTTTGTATTGCGCTCGCATGATTCTTCTCAGGATTTAATACAGTTTAATACGAGCTTATTTACATGCAGTATGTTGGATTTTCACGATGCAAAGGATCAACAATATTTTGAATAATTCATGGTGGATAGTTTTATTTATTTATTTCTTTCTGGTGATATACGTGAAGACATTTATATTTAGATTTGCTGTTTAGTGTTCGATGTAGAGGTATTGAAACCAATATGATTTGATGAAGATGATGATGATAAACTTTATTTAACCACGCTAACATTGTCAGCAGAAGCTGGTTTCCACAATGGGCGTGTAAAAAACGTTAACAAATTGTTACAAGTAAAATAATAAGGAAGTATTAACATGCAGAATATAAAATTATTAAAATATATACAAAAAGTTTGCTATTTACAATGATGTGGTTTTCTTTATAAGCTATAGGTAGCGATTTTTCTTTTAAAACTTGAGAACGAATTACTTTCTCTTATATTTTTTGGAAGAGAGTTCCATATGGAAGCTCCATCATACATGAAATTCTTTTTCATATTGTTTGTGTTTGGCTTGGGGAAACGTATGGTACTTGAGCTGTTACGAAGACTGCGTTTTAATATTTCTTTTTTGAAAGTAAATAATTCTTTGAGACAATTTGGCCCCATGTTATTGAGCGTTTTAAACATTATTTTTGCCTTTGCTTTCACTCTTTGTTCCTTGAGTGGTTCCCATCCTAATATATTTAGCACAGTTTGTTGATCTACCTCATTAGGCACACATGCTATTACACGGGCAGCTCTGTTATGAAGTTTTTGGAGACGCGTGGATTGCGTTTCACCAAATATATTCCAAACTTCACAACAGTAGCTAAAGTATGGTTGAATTATAGCATTGTATAAGGAAACGAGTGTTTTTTGATCAACATATTCTTTAATGCTTTTAAGAGTGTATATTCCAGATGATATCTTTTTACATATATTATCTGTATTGCTCTTCCAACACAAATTTTCATCAACAGTCACACCTAGTGTTTTACATTGAAAAACCTGCTTTATGGGTATGTTTTGAATGTGAATTTTAAGTTGTTGAACAGAAGCTTTCTTCAGCATCTGTTTAGTACCAATAATTTGAAATTCAGTTTTCGCCACATTCAAGCTCAGTTTGTTTGCCATGAGCCATTTACGAAGCATTTCTAAATCTGAGTTTACTGCATCTTCAAGATCACTTAAGCATTCTCCAGCTGCTGTGATATTTGTATCATCAGCAAACAACCGTGGTTTTGTTTTACTCAGACATGCAGGTAGATCATTAATATAGAGTAAGAAGAATAGTGGCCCCAATATAGACCCCTGGGGTACACCACATTTGACGTCGTTTTCCCCTGAAATAGATCCATTGACTTCACATCTTTGAGTACGACCAGTTAAGTATGATTTGAGTAATAGAAATGCACTTCCTGTGATTCCAACTAGTTTTAGTTTCTGCAATAAGATCTCATGGTCAACAGTATCAAAGGCTTTTTTTAAGTCTACAAATACAACCAAATTAAAAAGTTTCTATCCATGTTTATGTACCAATCATTTGTGCAATCAAGTAAAGCTGTTGCAGTTGAATGAAATTTTCTGAAACCAAATTGATGTTCAGAAAGTATGTTATTTGCACTCAAATACTCATAAAGTTGAGTATATAGGATACGTTCCATAATTTTACTAATGGCTGGCAACACAGAAATTGGTCGATAATTTCCTGGCAAGTTTCGTTTGCCATTCTTAAAAAGGGGAATTACCCTTGCAATTTTCCATTCATGTGGAAAAGTACATAAAGTTATTGCTTGATTAAAGATGTAAGTCAATGAATCGGAAATTAATGGTGCAGCAATTTTGATTATCTTGCTGGATATTTTATTTCATAAATTTGCAGTTCTAATAGCCCACTAATCGTCTTTATATTTATACAAGGAGTCAAAATGTACTTTTATTATCTGAGACATGTCCATCGGTTAGCATTATATGTAATATACCGGCTTACATTCATATATTCACCTGCTCAGAGTTTCTTTCTACAATCTTAATCATTACAAATGAATAGTCATCTGAAGCGGACAAAAATGTCAACATAGATTTTGTCTCCTCATCAGCAGATTGTTCAGTTGTTCTGCAATAGGGGTAGGCCTTGAAGGTGCCATTAAAGCAATAGAGAGTTTTAGATTGACGTACCACTTTCAAACCGCGAACGGCAAACCGCAGGTAGACGTTCGCGCTTTGAAGTTTGCAGTTTGTAATAAAAATTGCATTTAGTTTGACGTTTAAAGTTTTCGCGCGAAACGAACAAATTCAAAATGGCGGGAGCTAGAAGGTATGTAGAAGTCTTGTGAAAATCGTCTTTTTTCCCGATAATTAGTTTTTAATCTATTTTATTTCAATATTAACAAGTACCGAATCTATCTGTAGACGTAACTGTGACCAAATTTTGAACTATATGATGTACACTTCTGATTCTGATGATAGTTCAAGCAGTGATAGTGATGATGATAACGATTTGCTATTTTTTGAAACGTGTTTTGCTACAACACGAGAACTAGGAACTCGGATTAATCTACAAGACATTTCCGAAGATGACTGTGAGAAAATGTTCAGGTGATATTTTTCTGCTTTGCGTAATAACTAATATTTTAAAAAGTTGGATTACAATGTCAAGGACTTTCAAATTTTTTTCCCGTAGATTTGAAAAATACGATATACCTCGTCTGCGAGATGCACTGAAAATGCCGGATCGGTATACCTGTTGTCAGGGGACCGTTGTAGGTGGATTGGAAGTTCTCCTGATAATGTTACGCAGATTGGCATATCCAAATAGATTGAGTGATTTGACACCTATATTTGCAAGAACCGAATATGAACTAAGTCTAATTTTTAACACGGTATGAAGTTGTGTCTTAATTTTCAGCCATAAAATGTTCCAATGTTTAATAAGTTGTGACTTCCTACTGTATCTATCGTTTTAGATACTGGATGACATTTATGAACGATTTAACTATCTGTTGACGTCAATCGACTTAGTTTGGCTTGACCCAGATCTCTTTTCAAGAGTCATACATGCCAAAGGAGCCCCACTAGATCAATGTTGGGGGTTTATTGATGGGACTCCCAGGCCTATTGCACGACCAATACGTAACCAGAAAATAATGTATAGTGGGCACAAAAGGATTCATTGTTTAAAATTCCAGGTACGTTATACTGTAAGATGCCAAGTCAAACGTATTGTCTGACAAATTGAGGTCAATAAATGTATCAAATTTCCTAAGGCACGTGCAAATATATACTTTTAAAAGGTAGTAGTTGGTGGCATTGTACGACCTCACTAAAAAGTATACTGAAATTTAATATTCTTTCCATTTCAGTCCGTCCAGGCACCGAATGGGCTAATAGAAAACATGTTTGGACCAATCGAGGGCAGCCGACACGACGCATTTATGCTCGGAATAAGTGGCCTACAGGAAAAATTAAGACAGCTGACAAAGCCCGACGGGGAACCTTATGTTATTTATGGTGACCCAGCGTATGGGTTGTCGTATAACATATTGGCACCATACCGAGGCAACAATTTGTCCGATGCTCAGAAAGTATTTAACCGAGATATGAGCCGTGTTAGAGTTAATGTCGAGTGGGGTTTTGGAAAAATCTCACAGATCTTTGCCTACTTAGATTTTAAAACGAACCTAAAAGTCCTTTTGCAACCTATTGGAATATACTACTTGATCGGAGCACTTTTGACCAATTGTCATACTTGCTTATATGGTTCACTCACAAGCTCTTTTTTTAATCTTGAACCACCAGTGTTAGAGACATACCTAAGTAACTACATTAACTAACCAACTACATGTAATTAACAGTAGCTAAAAGCTATTTTGCCAATACGAAAGATAGGCAGTATATAGTAACGGTAGCAATCGACATCCTTATCCATCTTAACTTAAAATACTAACAATATAAGTGTTGTGCATGAAACCCAATGTAATAGAATATAAAAGTATTTGTTTTGATAATAAACTTTTCAATGTTGCATGTTGCTCCTGCTAAGCACTAAGCCCAACATTGCTCTTCTTTCTTCTAATTCGACTTCTAGCTCCATTTTTCGAATTTCCAACTCCTTTTCTTTCAATTCAGCTTTTTTTTCGTATTTATTAGCAAGCATTTCCATAGCAGTTAACTTTGTTTGCCGTGGTCTGTTACTTTTGCTATCTGTAGATTAAATAAAGTTCTATCAACATTTTTTTTGCGTTTGCAACAAACTTTTCAAGTCCAGACATCATTGTCTGTTCTACAAATGTTTCATTCAAACAATAGAGTAAAACATTATTTTCTGATGGAAATTTCGTACCTTTGCGCACCATCTTTTTGATCAATTCTTCATCTTCACTTTCTTCTTCACTTGAATGAATCGAGTCTTGGTTATCATCATATGCTAAAGACAGTAAGGATTATATCAAAATTTAAAATTTTTAACAAGGGTTTATAAGGAGAAGATACTATAGAATATTTTTAAGAAAACATTTAAGTTACTTGCTTTTGGAAGACAAATTGAACAACTAAAATTAGCAAAACAGAGATTCAAGTCATTCAAATAATAGCCAGTCAACCTAGGTGCCACAGACAACTAAAATTGTTTAAACAGTGATAATTTAAAGCTACAGTATGAAATGTAGCAAATAAAAATTTTAGGTAAACAGTAAATACATGTATGCCCAATTTTGAATGGATAAATAATTACATCAGTCTATTGGTAAACATACTTTCTCTCCTCTTTTCCATGGCAGCCCTTCTGATCATTTCTGCCTTTCTTTTTCCATTCTCAGCTTGGTTCCGTTTCTCTTCTTTTTCTTTATCCTTTAGCACCATCATATCCCTTCGGAATGTTGATATGTCTTCTAGTAGTTGCTTTAATTTGTTATAGTCCTCCTCAGCACCAGATCTATTAAAATTGCA